AAATGAAGCTTGATGTACATTGCATATGGTTAACATAATTTGTTGGCAGTGATTCCGATTATAATTTCTCCTTTCAACATAGAGTGGGTTTATTTAATATACATTAAAGACAACAATTTACAGTTTATATGGCTATATAACAGAAGTCCACTGATTGCAAATCAAAGTGCAGGCAATTGTAATAAAAAAATACAGTACTATCATGTCCAAAAAGAGATGACTAAGAAGGGAGTGGGGGCTTCCAGATTGTTTATCATTAGTGGTATATCATTCTGCAGTACATCCCTCCCATTGAACCAGATATTGTACTTTCATATCTGGTGTGATTCGCTTTGCTAAAACTTTAAACTTCTCCCCACAGACTAGTCTGCCTTCTGCACCAAAATATGAGGTAATAGATTGTCTGAGATGTTTTAGTGACATGGCTTTATCACTGAGGATACTGCTGCTGGTAAAATCAGCATCACTTTCTATGGGATTAGTTTCTTTCACTTCAATTCGTTTTCTCTTGCGTCCGCGTTTACTATGTGGTACAAACATGGATAGCATGGAGTCTGTGTCTGTGCTTCTTTGGTCAAAGCAATCAGGTTTGATACGTGTTTTTAGTGATGGTATAGTGTCTAGAATTGATGAGGTGGTACTACAACTGTCCTCATCCCACTCCATTACCGAAGTACTTCCCTGATAACCTCTGTATTCCTGGTTTGGACTCATAGACTGACCCTCTATTGTACTCTGCCAAATAAAACAGAAGAGGCTGGAATTCAGTATAAATTTACTGATACATATCAGTGAACTGATATCAACTGATTCAGAGTAGTTGCTTCTACTCAATTTGTTAAAGAATCTTGCCTGAGTAGAGCATAAAGCGATGACAATGTAACTGAATACCTTCATTAAAGCTGCTTGTAACATTTTCCTGGCACTTTTACTTTTACCTAGTAAAGACATTTCATTTTCTAATTTTCGTTTGCCTGGCGATGACGAAGGACTGCAACAAGAAAAAGAACACCATATTGCAGTAAAATGATTCCTTCAAGGTTTTATACATTGGACACCAGTTCAGTAGCTAACACAGCTAGGAAAGACAGATGACCAGTTGACATAATAGGAAACACAGAGGACCAGTTGACACAATAGGAAACACAGATGACCAGTTGACATAATAGTAAACACAGACGACCAGTTGACATAATAGGGAAGACAGACAACCAGTTGACATAATA